GTCAGGTGGCCAGGGGTGCAGGGACAATCAGGGCAGACGCTACCAGCAGCTGTCCCTACAGGGTCAACCTGGTCCACACCCCAGAGGCTAAAGCAGGGAAGTGTGGGAGCAGCAGTGCTGCAGCCAAGCCCTTTGGGGACACATGAGCTGGCTTCTTGGGGTTTCTTCTCTCCTGGTCCTGACCTCACTGAGAAGGCCTGATGGGATGGGCCCCAGAACCCGTCCCTGTGAGACACTAGCCAGCATGGGTGGGCTTGGTGATGGAGGACAGCGTGGGTGTCCAGCTGGCCAGCGAGGCCTCCTGCTCACCGAGCTCGCCAGACCAGGTGCTGCCCACCCACCACCCCCTCAGGCAGTGACTGAGTGCACGTGGGAGGCCCACAGTTTCAGTGTTCTCTGTCCCATGTTGTACTTTCTAGTCTTCGCCAGCTTCTCAGGAGGCATCAGAGCAGCCCTCCAACCCATCTTCACTGTGTGGTGGCCGCCAGAGCACCCTTCCGCAGGAGGCACCCACTGCTTCCCAGGGCCTGCTCAGACTCTTCCAGAGAAACACACCCGTGGAGGACCTGGGGGCCAAGGGGGTAAGCGCAGAGCGTGGGCTCTATCACCTTGCCAGAACTAGTCTGTGGCTCTCTACCTATGGGCCTGCCTCCTGAGGGTGGTGCTGTGCTCAGCCAACTGGGGTTGGTGGCACTTTTCCTGTGAGCCTTTGGAGATCTGAGATGGCCATTCAGTACGCTAGGTGGAGGAGGAGGAGAGAGGGGTCCTGACACCCGGGTCGCACCCACAGGCCCCGTTTGCTCCCCCAGGCCAAGGAGAAGATGAAGGAAGAGTCATGGCACATCCACTTCTTTGAGTACGGGCGCGGAGTATGCATGTACCGCACGGCTAAGACACGGGAGCTGGTGTTGAAGGGCATCCCCGAGGGCCTCCGCGGCGAGCTGTGGCTCCTGTTCTCTGGTGAGTTTCTCACCTCCGCCCTGTGGCCCACGGCCTCCTGAGTTGGCCAGGCTGGAACTGCCAGCCCTTCACAGGGCGGAAATGGGTCTCTGCGCTGTGAGGGGCTCATGCTGACCCACGCCAGGAGGGGCGTTCTTGGGGCCAGACACCAAAGGTGGCACTGTCACCAAGGGTGGGACTGTCATAGGTATGGCGCCTTTCCACCCACAGCGGAAGGTGAGCACTCCGCCCCCCCCTCCCCCCGCCCACCTTCCCCAAGGCCTCCTTTCTTGGGACAGGCTCTGACAACTTTCACACCCTTGGCCACCCAGACGGATTCAGGAGAGGGCAAGTTGGCCATTGGAACTTGGGTGGGGTCACCCCTCCAAGGAGCAGTCACAAAGGAACCTTTGCCTCATACTTCATAACTGCTCCCAAAGTTCCACTTCTCCTCTGTGGTACATTGATGCCTCCACCCTGCCCTGTCATTTCCCCCAAAGTCTCAGGAGGGGAGGAGGAGAGAGACAAGCTGCCAGCTGTGTCTCCACAGGGGCCTGGAATGAGATGGTGACTCACCCTGGCTACTATGCTGAGTTGGTGGAGAAGTCCACAGGGAAGTACAGCCTGGCCACGGAAGAGATTGAGCGAGACCTCCACCGCTCTATGCCCGAGCATCCTGCCTTCCAGAACGAGCTGGGGATCGCTGCCCTCCGGCGGGTGCTGACCGCCTATGCTTTCCGAAACCCCACCATTGGCTACTGCCAGGTAAGGGGGCTTAGCAGGGGTGCAGAGACAGCATTGCTCACCAGAGGCTCATAGGAACAGTTCCCCATGGCCCTGAGCCTCAGTGATGGCCTCACACACCTTCGACTGTGCCCTGTTCCTCCTGGAAAAACCTAACCACAGAAAAAGATGTAATTAAAAACAATATTAATTGCTCACTTCATTCCTATTCTTTATATCAAGTTGTCTTCTGTGTGCTTCTAGTCTGGGTCGTAGAGGCATTTGATTATTTTGTGTGTGTGTTAAAATACACATAACATGAAATTTAGCATCTTCACCATTTTTGAGTGTACGATTCAGTGGCATTAAGTATATCCTTGTGCAGCCATCACCACCATCCATCTCTAGAACTCTTCATCTTGTAAAACTGATACTGTCCCCATTGAGCAGTAACTCCCCTAGTCATCCCTGGAAACCATCTGTCTATCTCTCTGAACTTGACCACTCTAGGAACCTCATGTAAGTGAAATCTCACAGTATTTGGTTGTTTTTTTGTGTGTAATTGGCTTATTTCATTAGCATATGTTCTCAAGGTTCAATCATGTTGTAGTATGTGTCAGAATTTCCTTCCTTTTTAAAGCTGAGTATTCGACGGTGTGTATAGACCACATTTTGTGTATCCATTCACCCACAGATGGACACTCAGGTTGCTTCCACCTTTTGGCTATTGTGAATATGCTGCTGTGAACCTGGGTGCACAATATCTGTTCCAGTCCCTACTTTCAGTTCTTTTGTGCTTAACCCAGAAGTGGAAGTGCTGATCGTATAGCAATTTTATATTTGATTTTTTTGAGGAATTGCCATAGCATTTCCACAGTGACTGTTATACTTTACATCCCCATCAGCAATCCACATGGCTTCCAATTTTTCTACATCCTCACCAACACTTGTTATTTTCTGTGTTTTTGATAGTAGTCAAGCTAATGGTGTGAGGTATTATCTCATTGCAGTTTTGATTTGCATTTCTGGTGGCATCTGATTGTAAATCGAGTGGGCATTTTCCTGGCCAAGTCAGGTAGCTTTTTTTTCCCTAGATGACTCTGGATTTCAGAAAAACAAGCCAACTCCCCAAAAATCACTATCTGTAGGGCCAGTGTTTGACATGACATCTTAAAGCCAGTATGCTGACTTTAAATCATTTTTAAGATAATCTGTCACCACTGAAGCATTGAGCTTGGTCCCAGTCTTGCCATAGCCTCCCTGCAGCTGTGTGGCCCTAGCACACAGCTTGCTCACATATCCACCTATACCATGTCACACCTCTGATGCCAGAAGGAGTGCCACATGCTCATGTCCACCTTCTCAGTTTTCCAAGTACCCGCTGGCCCAATTTAACCCATTTCCCATTTGCCCCGAGAATACTCTCCAGCAGCTTTTGCAGCTGCAGCATTTACCCCAAGATAACTCACAGCAGTCCTAACCTTACCCCCAAAGTTTACCACAAAATATCTCGCTTTTATTATTATTTTCACATCAATCTAGTTTATCAATAGCCTTTGAAAACATAATTTTATTTATAGCATTCTGTTTTTAGTAGCGGTATTTCTATTTGCAAAATATAGTAATTCTTGATCGCTGAAAATGTCAAATCCTAGAAAATGTAGGATTCCTACACGTGATGTTAAATTAACACTGGCAGAAAGCTGCACTTTTTTTCCAAAACAGGAAAAGAGTTAAGGGACTTGGCTGACCATTTCTGTCCGACTGATTTCCTACAAATAACTTTTTGGTGAATTGCACGGAGCTGGGTGGAAGAGACGGCTTTCCTTAGTGTCAGGCTCCAGAGTCTTCCCTCACCATCTCTGTGCCTGCAGGCCATGAACATCGTCACCTCGGTGCTCCTGCTCTATGGCAGTGAGGAGGAGGCCTTTTGGCTGCTGGTGGCCCTCTGCGAGCGCATGCTGCCCGATTACTACAATAACAGGGTGGTGGGTAAGTGCCCCACAGGTCCCATATGTGAGCCCTCAGAGGCCCCACAGCTGTGCTGCAGGCTGCAGATCCCCGGTCCCCACCGAACGGATCAGGAAGCTGAGAGACCATCACACAGCTGCCATGTGGAGAGCCACATGCAGCCTCGGTCCTCTCACCAAACTGCCCACGGATTCCCTAAGAGTGGGTGGCAGGGAGAGGAGATGTCACACATTTGGTGGTGTTTAAAAGTCAGCTTGGGGCCTAAGTTCTCGTTCATCCAACTCTTCTTAAACATTTTTGTTTTGGAAGATTCCCAGCCTCATAACTAGAGCATGTTGTACACCACATACCTGTTACCCAGCCCTACCTCTCATGACCTCTCAGTGGGGAAACCTGAGCAGGTCTGTGGAGGTGCACTTGCTAATGTATTTCTTTACATGTATAATTATGTCTGTTCTTACAAGGTGTGCTTCCAAGGTGTGTTTGCTTTTTGGGGTCTCCACTCTTGGAATCCTTTAGAATTTTACCTGTTCACGAGCTTCAAGGCAGGACACATGGAAGCCACCAAGGCCACTGTTACTTCTGACACTTCTATGGAGATATTCACGTTTCCCCCCAAAAAAATCCAGAGTGGTGGAAGAAACCATTCCTTTCACACAATGGTTTGGAAGCTGTAGAAAGAAAACTTAGAGGGTTTCTTCTTTACTGTTTTTTCTCCACCTGCCCACCCCTCGACCCCTCCCACCCCCACCATGCACGGGGCTGGCCAGGGCCGGGGCCCACACGAGGGCCCACCGTGCACCCCTTCACGCTCTCCTAGGGGCCCTCGTGGACCAAGGCATCTTCGAAGAACTCACGAGAGACTTCCTGCCCCAGCTCTCCGAGAAGATGCAGGAGCTGGGGGTGGCCACCAGCATCTCACTCTCCTGGTTCCTCACCCTCTTCCTCAGTGTCATGCCCTTTGAGAGCTCTGTGGTCATTGTTGATTGCTTCTTCTACGAGGGCATCAAGGTGGTCCTGCAGGTGGCCTTGGCCATCCTGGATGCCAACATGGAGCAGCTGCTGAGCTGCAGCGACGAGGGCGAGGCCATGACCATCCTGGGCAGGTGACCTAATCGGCCTTTCTCCTCCTGCCAGACAGCCGGCCAGCAGAGCCCACCCCCTCACCAGCCCTGGGCACCCCACAGTCAGCATTCAGCAGCCATGCCCACCAAGTGCCCAGCCAGCGCTAGAGCCAGGGGCAGTCCAGGGGTCAGGATGGAGGCTCTTTTCTGGTGGGAGACAACCAGCCTTGGAGTAGTACTCACCACAGGAGAGGATAAAATGGGCAAGGGGCCTGGGCGTGCTGGACTGGAGGCGGCTAGAAGAGCGAGACCTCCTGGTTATGCCTTCCTGAGCCCAGACTGAGGGGCTCGTGCTGGGCCCGCTGTGACCACTGAAAAAGCCGACATGTGGCTGGTCAGGCCTAAGGCCCAGGGTCAGCCTGGCATCCTCCTCCTTTCTCAGTCCCCATGTCCTGTCCTCAGAGACACTCTCAGGGATCCAGTCCCCTCATTCTCCCATCCCAGCCTCATCCTGGCCTAGACCCTGAGTTCCATACAGTCCTCTGGCCTGCATGCACATATTTGCCCAGCCTAGACACTGCCACTTGCCTGCTGAGCCAACCCAGGTGCTGTGGGAACCTGCAGGGGTCCTGTGCTGGCAGGGCTGTCGCCGCCCTGCCCTGTTCTGTATGAACCTTGTCCACAGTGATGTCAAGACACTCAGTCAGAGACCACTGTGTGACTGATTCTCATGCCTGTCTCTCACACTGGACGCATCAGGCCCCTGCTCAGGAACAGGGACCTGTGGATGTGGGGACCGGCCACCCTCTCCCACCTGAATTTCAGGCCCAGCCTGGAGAGCCTGGGAGGGTGTGTGGGCCCAGCCAGCCCAAGTCGGGCCCTGTTCCGAGGCCGTGTTCCTGGAGAAGCAAGTCCCCGTGGACACTCCCATGGCAGGGCTCCTCTCGTGCCTTGCTCCTGGGACACTCCTTTGGTCCCCTATTCTTCCTGGCCAGGGCAGGGAGTCCCCGCATCCCCAGAGACCCACCAGAGGGAGAGAGCACATCCCTCCAAGTGGGACAAGGCTTTTCCCCTGGTGTGGTAGGGTCTGGACTTTTAAAGGGCCCCGCCCATGGGACCTCCAGAGGACAGCCTGGCTTCTCAGTGTCTGTGCTCAGGCCTCGCTGCCTCTGGGAGGATCCTCGATTTCCCAGGACTCATGTCCCCCAAGCCCTCAGTGGGCTCCCTCGCTGTTTGGGAGGTACATCCACATCACTTAGCTGTGGGGAAAACACCACTGTCACCTGTGGGTAGTCTAGACTCCTATCCTGTAATCCTTACAGGTACCTGGATAATGTGGTCAACAAGCAGAGTGTCTCTCCACCTGTCCCACACCTCCATGCCCTGCTCACCAGTGGAGACAACCCTCCTGCAGAGGTGGACATCTTCGACCTCCTGAAAGTGTCGTATGAGGTCAGAGCTCATTGGGGCTGATTGGCCAGGCTGCTTCATCTGGCCATGTGGATGCGGGTGCAGGCACGGGTGGCAGTGGCAGTCCTCCGTTCTGTGGTTCCACCTGACCTCACCAAGTCACCTCTGGCCGGTAGAAATTCAGCAGCCTGAGGGCCGACGACATTGAACAGATGCGGTTTAAACAGAGGCTGAAAGTGATCCAGTCCCTGGAGGACACAGCCAAGAGGAGCGTGGTACGAGGGCCCCTATTGGCCAGCGGGGGTGGAAGTGGAGTGGTGACCTAAGTGGGCTGCTCCCACCCTGCTATCTTCAGAAACCCCCTCCAGGCCAGGTGGGTGCAGTGCTCTCTAGTGCTGCCTGACGTAGGACCAGCATCAGGGGTGCAGGTGCCAGTTTGGGATAGTGGGATGAAACAGTCCGGTCACTGCGTTCTCATGGGTCAGCCTCTGGGAAGTTTCTCTGACCCCCTAGTGCCTGCAGGCCAAGCATGATCTCTCTCTGTGCTGAGCCGTCAGGCCTGGCTTTGCTCCCGCTCCTGGCTAGTAACCCTTAGCCACCCTCCACCCGCCCAGCCTACTGTTCCTCTGCCATAAGACCCCTCATCTCTGGAGGGAGTATTTACTGAGAAGTTCTAGAACATCTTCCAAAAAGCCAGTGCCAGGGTCTTTCCAAGGACCCAGACGGTAGCCACTAGATGCCTGCCCCTCACCCAGTGTTCTCAGCTGGGCGTTCAGAACAGAAAGTACCCCCAATGCCCACCAGAAAGGAGTGTGGACCGAGTGGCAGATGGGTGACACAAGGGGTAAGCATGTGGACCACACCGTCTTTCCTGGCCCACAAAGGATACCAAGAGAGTGGCCCACATTCTCACCTCTCACCGTCATCCACACAGGGCTTCTCTCAGAAAGTGTCTCGCTTGTACCATGGCGAGAACTTGAGATTCCATCCGTCCCTACATCCATTTTCTTTTCCTTCTAGGTCCGAGCTATACCCGGGGACATTGGTTTCTCAATTGAAGAGCTGGAGGATCTTTACATGGTGTTTAAGGTGACAGCCAAGACCAAGGGCAGCACCAGCACCCCATCCTAGTCCCCCAAATGCATCTATAGTGCAGCAGTCTCGTGCCAGAAGAGAAATAGATCTAAAGACACCCTCAGATGCAGTTACCTCACGTGGTAGAATTTCATCGTTGGAATTTAGGCAAAATACTGTTAAGTGTTAGAAAATCCACTCAAATCAGCTTACACAGAAGGGAGATTGCAGTGGCTCATGTAACTGAGAATCTAGAAATGCACAGCTTCAGGCATGGCTGGATCCAGGTGCTCCAGCATGCTGTCAGGCTTCCCCACCTCAGATGTCCTCTGGACTGCTCTTCCTGCAGAGTGGCAGGACTGCAGCTCCAGGTCATCCTGTCCTCTTAGTAACCCTAGTGGCAAGAAAACTTTTCTTTCCAAGGGGTTTTAACAGAAAGCCCGGGGTTAGTCTTTGGACTGACTCCAGTTGGGGGCTGTGACAACAGGAGAGTGCCGCTGGGCCAGAACTGAGCCATTCACCTACCCTATTGCTTGAGGGTAGGACAGGAGGGGCTTTCCAAGAAAATTTCAGGTGCTATAACAGAAGCAGCAGGAAGGGTGCTGAAGACTGGGCACAATCAGCAAAGCCCACGCCACCTTTCCAGTCTGGTCACTTCCTACCTGCTTCCCCCCAGCTGCCTCTGGTTCAGCCCCCAAAGTGGCACCGTGCTGTGGCTTTAGAATCAGAAGCAGTACTGCCCCACACCTCCCCATTCCTCACTGTGGCCTGTCCCAGTTCTGTCCCACCTCCTGCATCAGTGAATGAGGGCTGGTGGTTCCAACTCAGGAGGTCCTGTGAGAGGCTGTGTCTGGCTCAGTGCTCACTTCCAGGCCTCTGCAGCCCTGGATGGAGGAGGAGGGGACACATGGACCAGCCTGGTGATCCTAATCGCCATCTCACCAGGCTGTGCCCCCTGTAGGCCAAGCACCTGGCAAGTCAGTACTGGGGTCGTGGCCAGCCCACTGCCATGCGTCGAGACCCCAGCCTGCCCTACCTAGAGCAGTACCGCATCGACGCCACCCAGTTCCAGGAACTCTTCGGCAGCCTGACGCCCTGGGCCTGCGGCTCCCACACACCTGTGCTGGCGGGGCGCATGTTTCGGCTCCTGGACAGAAACAAGGACTCACTGATCAACTTCAAGGAGTTCGTGACAGGGATGAGTGAGTGGCTCCAGGGCCCACCGGAGCCCGGGTCCCTTGATAACGGCAGGGTCATTTTCCACTGGAGACAAGTGGGGGTCCAGTGGGGTCCTTCTCTCCCACAGCCCAGGGCTGCCTGGGGAAGGGCAAGCGCAGGAGAGAACAGGAAGCCTGGGCTCACTCCTGGGACCCCTCCCAGAGGGAGTCAGGCTGTCAGGGGTCACCAGGACCCACTGGAAGGAGGGTGTGCCAATGAGGGCCAGCCCTGGGGTTCTTGCCAGTGTGCCTCCTCTCTGGCCTTTCTCCACAGGCGGGATGTACCACGGGGACCTGACAGACAAGTTAAAGGTGCTCTACAAGCTACACCTGCCCCCAGGTGAGTGCCTCCCTCACACTTCCAGTGAGGAGGACTCACTTGTCCAGAGCTGACCTCTAGGCACAGGCCTCTGGGGGGCCGAGCAGAGTGGTTCCAACTCAGGAGGTCTTGTGAGAGGCTGTGTCTGGCTCAGTGCCAATGTGCTAGGGCTGAGAGCAGGGCCGTGACCTGTGACCTGAGAGGGGATATGCAAGAGTGTCTCAGGGAGAGTGACTCTGCCCAGGGGCTAGGATCCCAGGGAACACAGGGCAACGCAACCGAAAAACCATGAGGGGAATGAGTGGATTCAAGTTCGAAATGGAGACCCCTTACTTTCATTAGCTTGTCCTTAAGTTTCTCAAGGGTTCCTGTTTATCCCTGGAGGGTCAGCCTGGGGACTCCTGTCTTATGGCCATGAGCAGGGACCACTCCCCTATAGCTTCTCTAAGGGGTACCTCAGCCTAGTGGGGACGCCTGACAGGTAGCATGGTGGGCCAGTTGGTCCAAAGGCAGGCCAGATCTCGTGGTTGCTAGGTTCCTTCTGTGCGGGCCAACCTAACTGGCTCAGCAAGGGTGGCCACAAGGAGAGCTCTTCAAGCGGGGTTAGCCCCATCTTCACAGGAGGGAACTGTGACTCAGGTGAAAATTCTGATCCCAGGCACTCTGCTCTGGGGTAGAGCTGCTGGTCCCTTCTCTTGGCCACAACGGTGTCAGCAGCTGCCTGGGAGTCAGCCAAGTGATTTTTGGAATGCTAGTGCCACGCTCACCCCAGAGGCTCCTACTTCATTGGCCTGGGGCAGGGCCCAGATAGATATTTTTAAAGATTGCTCTGTAGAGTCAGTTGGAGAGTTGTGCTCTTGACTCGGGCATTCTCATGGCTGGTTTTTTTGCCTCTAATGTGACAAGGAATAGTGGCCTCGGGGACACCTCCAGGGAAGTTGATACCAGCCACCACTGACTGCTGAGGGAGAGGCCAGGGCTGGCAGAGCCCAGTGGGCCAGGACCCTGCAGATGAGGGCACCCAGGGCCATCCCCACCGCTCCTGGGCCACCTTGCCTGCCCTGCTTTGTCTAGGGCTCCAGTGGACCTTGCCGATGCCCTATCACCCCACCACGTGCCATGCACTGCACTCCCTCTGTACAAGAGGGAAAATAGGTCCCCCACAGAACCACATGGCTCCCCCAAGGACTGCTTACTGACAGAGACCGATGTCCAGGATGCATGGAGTGATGTCCCTGTGCACAGCTGGCCCTGCGTGTATGTCGCAGGAACATAAAGCATCCCGAAGGACCCTCTGGGCCACTCGCTGGCCTTCCAGCTGCACTGAATAGATTCTTGCCTGGGACACATGTCACGTTTTCAAAAACCATGAAGCCAAGAAAGTAGCAATAACCAGAATCCAGGTCACCATTACCACTGTGACCACATGCCACACTGGCGGGGCTAGGAGCTGTGGGGCACGCCGTGGGGGAACCAGGCCTTTGTCGTGGGAGGGTGGCCCTGGCGAAGTCGCATTGTTTCCTCCTACCCTCACCCTCCTTCCTCTCTGAGCACAGCCCTGAACCCAGAGGAGGCCGAGTCGGCCCTGGAAGCGGCCCACTATTTCACCGAGGACAGCTCCTCAGAAGGTGAGCGCTGCTAGGATGCCTGCAGCCCTGGGTGGGCTGGGGAGCCAGCCTCACTGGGGTGCTCGCCGGACAGGGTGAGGGCGCTGCCCCTCCCTCCAAGTTGGTCCCTGGGGTGTTCTCACTTGTTTCTCTTGTCTCTGCCTTCCTGGACCCTGGCCTTTGCCCCCACCGCCCTCGCTTCTCCTCCGCTGTCCCTTCCAGCATCTCCTCTGGCCTCAGATCTGGATCTTTTCCTGCCCTGGGAGGCTCAAGGTCAGTCCCTGGGGAGCAGGGGCACCCCCGCCCCCCTGCTGCACTGGGCTCCGTCTAGGCCTTGGCCTCTGTCTTCCTAACAGTCCCCTGCACAGCCAATCCCCTGGAAGCTCTTGGTCCCAGGGGCACCTCCTATGTGGCTAAGTCCTGAGAGGGAACCATGTCGCTTTGGCCTGGGAGAGGTGAGGGGCGACCTCTGTGCTTGTCACGGGGATGTCAATAAGGACACACAGCACAGCAGGTATTGCACAGGCACCAGGCCATCAGCTGCATGCCACATTCATAGGAAAAAAACACAAATGCTACCAGTGCAACAGTGTGAAACAGACATGGACAAATGGAGGTGGAGGAGAGTGCTGGGTGCTTTCCTTGGAAAATGTGTTTCACGTTCCACACAACTTTTTCGCTGGGGAAAATATGTTTGTTGAGTACCTATTAGAAGTCATCTCTGTGCTACATTTAAAGGCCTTTGGGAGCCTCAGTCCAGGGAGATGGGGCATTCTGGTCCTGGGACTTGGCAGTTGAGCTGGTGGTGTGTAATTGTGTAACATACTCACCAAACTGACCGAAACACCACCCTGTAACTTCTCATGGGTTACAGTACACACCAATGATAATACACCCAAAAGAAAAATTTAAAACAGCATGTATCAAAATACCCAAGGCAGTCCTGTTGCAGTGTCAGAGGCTTAATTGAACTTGACTGTGAAGCTTCAGGACCTTGAAATCAGATGTACCTGCTGTACTCGGAGCCTGGGCAAATCATGGGTGCTTTAGGCTTGTCCCAGGCGCTTCTGGGAGAGGCCACGGGCTGAGGGCACAGAGTCCTGTCCTCAGACACCACATAGCCCTCAGGCAGCGGATCTCTATTCCAGGGGAGAAGCCTGAGCCCAGAGAGGTGAGCCCTTCCTCACCACCACACAGCAGTGAGGGACTCTCAGAGCCAGGTTGCTACCATTGGCCACAGGGCCCCCAACCGGCCTAACTGCCTCAGGCAGCAGGTCTGAGAGAGCTGGGCAGCCTGCTTCCCAGCAAGTTCATGGGCACTGTAGGAAGCACAGTGTGTGCCAACTCCAGTAAATACATCCCCCTAAGAAATACAGAGCTGAACTGTATTTAAAAATGCCTCCTCTGCTAGCGTGGCAGTCAGAAGTTGAGTTGGTAATTAGGAAGCCCTCAGTTTGACCTTTTCAGCAAAGACAACAAAGAAGTTCTCAGACAGTTTCTCCATAATGTGCATCGTTGTGCACATAAACACTGTGGTGAGACTTGTATTCCTTTGACAGACAGGGCATGAGGCTCCAGTAGTCATGGGGTCCCATGGAATCAGCAGGACCTGCTGCCTGGGCCAGGTCTGCCTCTGCGGGAGAGTACAGACTAGACCCCTCACAGACCTCAGTGGTTCGAGTCCTAATAGAAGAATGTTCTCTGTGTTCTTTTTCTGGTCATCCAGAAACACTACTGCAGGAAGAGCGAGAGGGAACTGGAAATGAAGACGTCCAAGAAAAAAGAGGAGGTATATATACACACACAGGCCCATTGCTGCTAGTGCTGGTAGAGACCCTGGGGTCCCGGGGTCTGAGCACCCCGTCACTTTGGGAAAGCCCCTACCGAGCAGATGGCAAACGTGGCCTGACTCAGAGGCTGTCCCTGTGGAAAGGGCAGTGCTGTGCAGTGAATGCTGGCCCGTCAGCTGCCAGGGGAGGTACTTCTACCTAAATCTTCCCATAGCTGCGAACAGCCCTGGCTGTCACCACCTCCCTCTGGGTGCCCGGCCAGTTTCTCCCACTCATGCTGTCCTCTCTCCAGTCTCCATATGGTGATTCCATCACCATCTTGGGGAAGATAGGTTGCCCCAACTTTATCAGCTTAGGTCAAACCTACTTTAGCATAACCCAGAGGGGACCTGTGAGTGTTCTGAGGTGTTCTTTCCCTCACCACCTTCCCAAATGCCAGGATATTTTCTAAAAGAGCCCAGGTAACTCCACGCCGGACAGCTCCTTGACCCCTTCATTCCCTGCTACCAGCCCCCTGCCCTCTTTCTCTCATTTGTCAGATGGAGATTAATCTTTTTTCTCCCAACTCACAGAGGAGAGGGAGACCAGCTCTCCCGACTACCGGCACTATCTTCAGATATGGGCCAAGGAGAAAGAGGTACAGAAGGAGACCATCAAGGACCTCCCCAAGATGGACCAGGTAGGTGCCACCAGAGGCTCAGCAGCTGTGGCTGAAAGTGCTGACTGAGCTGGGCCTCCAGCCCCCGGAGGGTGGGGATTCTCCCGCCTGCCTCTAGCCCACTAGTCAGATGGCAGTCGGGGACAGCTCCTGAGAGATAGGAGACCAGTTGCTTCAAGGCCTTGTTCAGGGTGGTGTCTCATGGTGACAACTTGCTTACTATTGATCAAGATCTGTGAACCAGAAAAGCACTAGGGAGGGTTGGCCTCTGATAAGCAGAGACTGACATGCCACCTTTTATAAGCAGATGATGGCGTGGTGCTCCTGCTTCCACCAGGCCCACTATTCGTTTGCTGGGCCTGGGTCTGGAGCCTGGTGTCTTGGCAAGGGTCTCAAGGCCAGGACTGCAGAGACATCTAACCATAGGCAGTTCTTGAGTTGCAGCTTGATCACGTACCTGCTCTGCCCAAGGGGACACCCTGCCTGCTGGGCGCTTTCACCTTAGGCTGGCATGGGACACCCCATAGACTGGGGTTTCACCCCATTCCCAGACCAGGAGGCCTAAACATGTGATTTCAGGGTCTGATGTCAGACCTCCTGTCCCTTCAGCTGCCCCAGGCTGCACTTGCCTTGTCACCACCCTCTAAAGAGCTTTGTCAAGGAAAAATTAAAGTCACTTTGAGTAAAACTATAGAGAGCTCAAAGTGGTTCCAAAGCACAGTGAAGAAAGCCTGTAGTCACCGGCTTTGGAGAGTCATGACGGAGATAGTCTGGCTCTGCTAACAAAATGGACATGAGACAGGCAGAGATTCCAGATCATTCTCAGTGCTGGAAGAAAGGCAGCGGGGAAAGAAAGCCCTTTCAAGGTTGTGCTACATTGCTCACATCATCGTCCCTGTCTGGACATCAGTGTCCCCATCTGTGAAGTGGGCAGGAGAAGCAAGACACAGTGACCTGAGTGCAGCCTGACTCAACCTGACCCTAGCCTCTCCCGGCCCTTTTTCTGTTTTTCCCTTAAAAGGAACAGTTCATTGAGCTGTGCAAGACGCTCTACAATGTGTTCAGTGAGGACCCCCTGGAGCAGGAGCTGTACCATGCCATTGCTGCCGTGGCCAGCCTGCTGCTGCGCATCGGAGAGCTGGGGAAGAGGTTCTCGACGCAGCCCAGCAGGAAGCCCAGGGACAGTGCCCCGAGGGAGGACGGGCAGCCAGCCCCCAGTTCCCTTCAGGACCTGGCCCAGGAGCTCCAGCCACCAGCCGCGGGCGACCCTCAGGCCAAAGCTGGCGGAGACACCCAACTTGGGAAAGCGCCTCAGGAGAGCCAGGTGGTGGGTGAAGGGGGTGGCGGCGAGGGCCAGGGCTCCCCATCCCAGCGTCTGTCTGACGATGAAACCAAAGACGACATGTCCATGTCCTCCTACTCAGTGGTCAGCACGGGCTCCCTGCAGTGTGAGGACCTGGCTGACGACACGGTACTGGTGGGTGGGGAGGCACACAGCCCCACGGCCACTGCCCGCAGGGGGGGCACTGTGGACACCGAGTGGAGCATCTCCTTCGAGCAGATCCTGGCCTCCATCCTGACGGAGTCCGTGCTGGTGAACTTCTTTGAGAAGAGGGTGGACATTGGACTCAAGATTAAGGGCCAAAAGAAGATGGAGAGACAGTTTAGCTCATCCAGTGACCAGGAGCAGTCTGGGGCCTCGGGCTGAAGGCTCTACTCTGGAGCTGACCTCTCCTACCCCCTCCCTGTCATCAATTTTCTCCTTAAGGAGAAATGCCCCTCCTGTTTCCCCAGAAGCAGTGGAAAGTAGGCTGAACAGCCCAGATGGGGCCCAGGCAGAGGCCCTCCCGTCTGCCCTGCTGGCCCTCTGCCCCCACGTCTGAGCTGGGGCCACATGCTCCACCCACAGGCGCTCCTGCAGCTGCCTGCTCAGTTTTTCCTGCCACTGAGCACCAAGTAGCGGGGCCGCTTGCCTTTTGGGCACCAGTGGTAGCTCACCAGAGCTCTTGTCTGAGGGACACTGGGTGCCACACAGGTGTATTCTAAATGCTCTTTCAGCTTATCGTCCTCACCATTGACCTTAAAAGCACATCCCTCAGGTCCTGATATACATCCTTGTATTCATTTCAGTAGGCTAAAAAACCACACTGTGCTTAATGCCTTAATAAATCCCTGAAAGAACTAAGAACACGCTGTGTCCAGAGCCTCAGTGTGGCCCTCGATCCCTGCCTTGGGCTCCAGGCTTCTCCCTCAGGCTACCTTCCAGAGATTCCAGACACTTAGGCTCCCACCGGGGTGGGGGTTCAAGGCCCCCAAGGAAGATGGGGACACAGAAGGTGCTGATGCAAGCTAAGCAGGCCCTGTGCTAACATGTGACAGGGAGCCCCGAGCTCCACAGGCATAGGCAGCCTGGGTCCAGTACAGCGGTGTGTGTTGCGCTGTTGGGTTCAGGAAGCAGCCTATGGGGCCACAGGTGACGGGCTGAGCCCATGAGAACCCTCTTGCTTTGCATCAGGAACTGATCATCAGTGTCCAGTACTTGCCAAACACACACACACACACACACACACTCGTGAGGGCAGGAACCAAACCTGCCGTACTCGGTGATTTTTCCCAGTAGTCGAGCTCTTAGTAAGTTTCCACACACACACAGGCACGCTTGCTTCTTTACTAAGAGAGGTCTCTGTGGCTGTTGCTTTTTTTAAATTCAATAGCTTTATTGAGGCATAACTTAGCATGAAATTTGTTTAACTTAAACAACTCAGTGATTTTTAGTAAATTTATAGAATTGTGCAACCATCACCAGAATGTGATTTTAAAGTATTTTCATCACCCCAGAAAGACCTTTCCTTCCCACGTGCAGCAAATCCCTTTTCCCACCCCCAACTCTAATCTAGTTGCTGTTCTATAGAGTTTATGGCTGGTTTTAAAAATGACAATATGATTTTACCTTGTTCACAACAACTTCTGGGTCACAGTCTCAACAAATGCAGCAAAACAACAACAAGTAAACTGAACAACTGTTTTCTTTAAAAAGTCATTAATCAATGTAATTAATTTCTAGCATTTATATAAACTGACCACATGCTTTGTCAAAGTAATTTCAAAGGATTCATACTAGAAAGACTGTGTTCTTGGCCATAATTAAAGATATACATGAGAAGCCCAAACAATAATTTAAAGTCTTAAATGATTATAATCAATTAGAAAGGTTTCAATAACTTGAAGTTATTGAGATTATTCCAAAGACATTAAACAGAAGAATATAAAAGGAATCTAGACTTTCATATCATGGGGGAGGGGAAATTTCCCCCGCTTTTCCCTTTGTTCTTCTGGCTGGTCTAATAATCAAAGAGATTAACAGGCAAAAAGAACCAAATTTAATTAGAGAATATGGGGCCTCAAGACAAATTGGGCAGTTGAGATTTACATGCCACCTTGAGCTAAGGAGTGGTTAATGGTTTGGGACTTCAAAGGGCAGAAGGCAATTCACATGGAGGAGGACAAGTAAACATTTGGTAAATAAATGTTGGCTGGAACATCTTTAACAATGCAATACAGGGAGGACTTTGAGTGTCCCCCAATCTACCTACAGCAGGTAGGTCCTCCATCTAAAATCTTTAGGCAGTTCCAAGGAAGGGCAAAGGTTTTTCCTGAGTCTTCATTTCCTAACCAGCTTAAAATAACATCCCAAAGAGGCATATTTTGGGGTGGCAAACTCTGCTCCCCTTTAATATAAAAGAATGTATAAAAATATACAGTAGTGCTTTTCACCTATTTACCATTCAGGGATGATATTCAGTGCTTAACAACCAGAATAGTGTTAAAAACTTTCTAAGCCAACAGCTTTTCTAAAAGAAAGGATTTATTGAGCCAAACGCTAGCCAGCAAAGGACCAGGTTCTGGACATGTCTAAACCAGCAGCAGCACAGCCAGATGGAGAGTGACATGTCCAGCCTGCTGTAATTTAATTTAGGACATCTCAGAATTATCACTTGTCAACAGTAACTTTAAATAATATATGGATAATACAAATAAAAATTTAAATATTTTTTTATTCTATAAGTAAACATAATTGCATATTTTAAAACTGCTTACCAGGTGATATACCAAATCAAGTCATTCTTATAATTCTCAAGAAAAAATACATTTATATGAATTTTAAAAGGATTACATGCTTTTTGCAGAAAGAAGGGAAAAATACAGAAAAGTAGAAAAAATTTTTCCTAGTGCTTAAGACTACTGCTCAGTATTTTGGTGTTTATTTTTTTCTATATCTTTCACAAAACTGAATACATACCATATCTGAAACTTTTATTCTCTTTTCATTAAGCATAAAACATTCTTTGCAAATGTCTTCTGCTCTTAGCCACAAAAACTCAAACTACGTGGAAATAAAGACTACCCAAATGAGAACAGGTACTATTTATCCAGATTTATTTAAACAAAAAAAGTCAACCACCATCATTTGCATTTGGCAGAGACTCAATGGCAAGCAGAGGAAAAAGAAAGCTTTAGAGTGGAAATAAGGCTTCAGGTGTGCTTGGTGTGGGCGGCTGAGGCTGGCTAACCAGAAGCAGATGCCTCATGTGATTGATTTGGTGAGCAAAATTAGCTTTCTCCAGTTTGTCCTGAAATAGATACAAAAACAAAAAAACGAAGTCATTGACGAAGTCCTGGCTGCTGTTGAAATTGTGGTTTGGCTTCCGGACTGGTTACTACAGAGGTTGGCATATGTGGTCTGGTCACTGTCCGTTTGTACATTGTCTCTCAAACATAATTTTTTAAAACTAATTTGCTTTTTTATAATATATGCTATTGTGCAAAATTTGGAAAATATAAAAAATGTATAAAATCATCTATAACCCTAACCCCTCCACACCTGGACATAAATAGTGCCTGGTTTTACATAATGGGAATTCTGTACATTTGTAACCCCCTTGCTTTGCAACAATATACCCAACAGCATTTTCACTTTAAATTCACACTTTGTTAAAGACCTGCGTAATGATCCATGCCGAGTTATCGTAAGCAACCATTCTTTGGAACGTTTATTTCCATTTTTTCCTGTTACACTTAAGTGAACACTAGCGCGAAACTAATACATCTGGGCGATGCAGAATATTTTCTTAGAATAGAGGTAATGCCAGATTGCTTTCCATCATAGCTTTCCCTTTTGCCGCTCTGCCAGCCGCATCTAAGAAGGGATCCTCTCACCACATCCTTGTCAGGACTGGCCGTTTTAACTGTCTTTTGACAAGATGGTTTGTATTGTCAGGCACATGTGACTCACAAGGCGTCTTGGAGAAGCAGAGGGAACAGTGCAGGCAGAGGCCGGACCCGCAGCAGCGGCTTGAGGCCCTGCCCTTGCGACTTCAAGCCCCCCAAAGAGCCCACGAGGAAGTGCTGGCTCAGGTGTAGAAGGTAAGTGACCTGGGCTCAGACAGCGAGTCCAGGAGCGGGCAGACGAAAACCCCAAACAACGCCCGAACGGGCAGCAAGCGTAGGCGGAGCCCTGAGGTCCCAAAAAGCCCAGCCAATCGCCTAGACGCACGGGAGGGGACCCAGCATGTGCAGGGGGCAGAGTCGAGGCGGGGCAGAGTCGAGGTGGGCCGGAGCGCAGGGCGCACGCGCATTGGGCCGTGCTGGGGACTAGCGGGGCCAAGGGCCAGTAGGGAGCGGAGCCGGGGCGGGCAGGAGCGCAAGGCGCATGCGCACACGGCGCGGTGCCGCGGAGCCGGAAGGACCCCAGCGCATGCAGGGGGCGGAGCAGAGAGCGGACCGCATGCAGAGGCGCACGCGCTCGTGAATCAGGGACCGAGGATGCCATGGCGCCGCCTCCGCAGATTCGGGTCCTGCGGTGCTGCAGCTGCCGCCTCTTCCAGGCGCACCAGGTGGGGTTGGCGCCGGCCTCCCCTCCTCCTGGCTCCGGAACCAGGCCTCTTCCCCGCGCCTTACCCAGGCTCTGCCCCTAGAACTAGGGCGCCGTCTCGCGCGGTTGCGGGATGTACCTGGGGCCCGGACCAATTATGATGACGGTCCTGAGGACTGCGTTTCCTTGGCGTCGACTTCTCCATAACGCCGCTCTGGGCTTTTTTCGAATTTTGCCTGGTTGTTGTAAGATTCGTAGGAACCATGGATAATAGCTTTTGCGGAGGCGGCCTCGTGAATTCTTCCAAGTTGAGGATAACCTCCTTTATGAAGAGCCTACCCCCAAAAGTGCCTCTTTTTTAAATACAGGGGAGATGAGTTTTTAAACTAAGACACGCCTTGGCGCCCCCTGCTGTCATTCCTTGGCTCTGCCCCTGTTATCCGCATCGGGAGGGATTGGACCCCTGCTCTCCAAGGCGTAAAACCCGCGCCTCCAGTATTTTAAGTAGGATAATTGGTATTTTGAAAACGTATTGCTTTCCTTTCACAACAAGAAAGAATGTCACGTAACCTTTTTTTAACTGGATCGTAGTCTACTGTTTGATATCACCTAACTCTGCTATCAGTGTAGCAGCTTCTGTCCCCTCCTAGTTATCTGCTAATCCGCTGTGCTCTGAAAAAGGGTAGCATCAGACTTCTTTAAAAGTCAGTGAGATGCTGAGTATGCACCTGTAAGCTTGCTGAGAACTTGTGTTATTTTAGGGCCTCAGAAACTTTTTACTTATTCCTTTTTTCGGACTGCGTTCTAGGAATTGAGAATAAATGGAAATTATTTCCATTTTTAAATTGTTACACACACATGATGTAGCACTTACTCTCATGGTTATTTTCAGCTCTGAAAAGTGATTTGAAACC